TAGGACAAAAAAGGGTCGGATTTTACGAAGTTCGGCTCCATCCAAGGCCAATAACTGCTGTAAAAGAGAAATTATCAAAATATGTTCAATAAATGAGAAGTGTCCTATATAGAGACACGACATGTTTGGTGAGGAGGATTGAACATGACTTGATTGTATTAAGAAATAAAACAAAATTAAAATTAATAAGACGATTTCCTCGATTTACTTTGATCTTCTTCCATACAACTGTAAGTGTAGTAGTACGGATTGTTCTTTCATTATTTAATTTACGAAAATTTATGTTATGATTATGATGATACGAAAATCTAAGTTATGACTATGAAAAGAGTACTATATGTGTAAGTTCAAAGGACCGGAGTTTAATAGCGCTATGCACAGGAATTATAGCCAAGAAGTTCGAATTTTAATTTCTTGTATCTCCATATGTATGTTATGATTTTTCGCATTTAAATATAAGATGAAATTCGTTATTATTCATTTACTGAGATTTATGTCTCACACATATATTTTAAACCTTTTATAGGTAACTAAAAAGGTGGGTTCGAGGTGATCAGAAGTGGATTGTGCTTGCGTAAAAATGAAGAATAAATTATGTAGTTAAGAATTTTAATAATGTTCATTATATTTCTTTTAAAACTAATTTTAAATCCTCGCATGTTAAGAAAATATTTTTTTTTTCTTTTGATTATGAAAATACTCTTTTGCGGTACATGTATAATGATTCCAAAGGTAAAATTTGGGTTGTTACATTTATAGTGCAGAAGGTAATCTTCAAACATGAGAATGAGGACTTGATGAATAGGTAAACGTTTTACAGAATTATACCTTGAACAAGATTTACTAACTCCCGCTCCCATAATAAGCCACTTAATACTAAGCTGAGATATGAGCTGCACAATCCCCTTCTCAATAGAGTCCATCTCTTCGTATAGCGTCTCAACCTGCACCTACAATAAGAAGCAAAAAAATTACAAGAACTAAGCTTTAGCACATGGATTCCACCATTATCCCAAAGAAACCTAAAACGAAGTTTCCACAGTTATGTTGTTAAGTTAAAAAAATGAAATTATCTTATGGAAGACGGACAA